TATATAATATATAATGATTATTTTACATAAATTATAAATATATTCATTTTAATTGATCATTATAGGCAATACATAGTTATAGAGAGACGGAAAAAAGTAAATGGAATGAAAAAAATATAAAAATAATAGATAAAATTCGGAAAAAAGCATTTTCCAAAGAAATATCTCATATTCCATTAATACACGTTTTAGACTTAGCATCTGAAGGATGGATAAAACCACATGTTGATAGTATAAAAGTATGTATTTTATTTTTTAAATATTTGTAAAAGTTTAAATGATTAATTTAAATGAAATGATTTTTTTATAGTTCTGTGGAGAAATTATTGCTGGTTTAAGTTTGTTAACAGATAGTGTAATGAGATTAAAAATGGTTGATAATGAATCATTATATAAAGATTTCTTATTATCAAGAAGATCTTTATATATAATGAGGTAAAAATGATGTTTATATGTTTGTTACAATATATATTTTATTATTTATATTTTATATTTATATATATATATTATATTTTTTTTTACAGTGGCATTGCTAGATATAATTATACACATGAAATTTTAAAAAATAAGGAATCCTTTTTTAAAGGACAATATATATTAAAAAATAGACGTATTTCAATAATATGTAGGAGTCAACCAAATCATAATTATAAACAATATTGATTCTGCAATGATATCCTTTATATTCTTTCAATTCAGTGATGTATTATTATAGTTTTTTAGATATTACATCATGTTTACATTATGTAAAAAATTTTGGAAAATATTATTGGTACATTTTAAAGTATAAAGTTTTTAAACTATAAAATTTTAAAGGAAAATAATACAAATTTTAAATTTGTAATAATTTTATGAAACAATAATTAATAAAAAATAAATATCCTAGTGAAAAATAAAAGATCTTGGTATATCATTGCAAAATTAATGATGTGATTGTATAAATATTATGTAAATTTGTATATATGTATAATTGTGTTACATGTGAATATAATACTAAATTATATATATATGAGTACAATATAGAATTGTATATGTAAATATAATATTTAATGAACTATAGTATGTTGAACTTAAATTTAGAAAATTAAAATTTTTTTAATTCTTTTATAGATTTTAATACGAAGAAGATTACTGATTTAATTTTTAGAAATTTTAGGAATTTAATTACATTATGCTATATTAAAATTCTAGTCAACTCGTTTAAAGAATAGAAATATCATCGCGTCAAATTTTATTATTTTTTAATTAAAGAAGATTTAAATAAGATATTAATAATATTATAATATCAATATAAATCAATTTATTTGATTTATTAATTTATATATGCTTATTCATTTAAATTCAAAAAAATATATTATCGTAAATATCATATAAAACTCAACTATGTTAGTATATGATTCAATTTTAATTAGATTTAAATTATGATATAATTTGAATTATTTATCTAAAAGAAAAATATGAATTTGTATTTTTCTTATATCTATATTTCTATATCTTGTTGTAAAATCTTGTTAAAAAATCTTGTTAAAAAAAATCCCTAAAAATTCGCAATTTTGAATAAATTCCCTACGTGATCTTTCTATAATTTCTATAAAATCTGTTTTTATTTCCTTTCTTATAATCACATGAATTTAGAAAAAATTGTGCGCGAATTGATTAAAAAAAATCTGATATTTTATACAAAAAAGAATTAAAGATAATATTTGTAATGAAAAAAATCGATTTTTCGACCCAAAAGGTAATGCATAATAATTAACAAAAATAATGAAATAATAAAAAATTATTCAACTTTTTTTTGAAACTAAATTAATGAACATTATTGTTTTATCATTTATTATTTTATAGAACAATTCAACTCATAATGGAAAGCAATCTCAACGGAAAATATCAATGTATTTTATGAAAACTTCCAAAAATGAAAAATTTATAAAAAGTAATAATTCGATAAATAATATAGTTGAAACGATTATTACAAATGATGAAATACAAAAAAAAAGAAAAATATCAGAAGTTTTAGATTCATCAAAAATAAAAATTACAAAATATAATGATGATACTTCTGATGTACATAATATGCAAAACATACAAAGACAAAATCATTTACTTACAAAATCAAATGTCATTCATAATGTGTTTAATACGGATAATGTTAACACAAATATAATTAAAACTAAATATAAAGATGCATCTGTAATTGAATTTAAAGAAAATATAGAAAATATAGAAATTAACAAATATACAAATACAATATGTAATTTAAATGAAGAAAAGAAAATAAATAATGATATATTATGTAATACTACTTCTGATGTAAGCTTTTCTTCAAAAGAATTTTATGGAAAAAATATTATTGCTATGGAAGAACATAAAGAAATTCATTCAGAAATAGAATCATTTTTTACAGAAGATTTTAATGATTGCTTTGAAGAAGAATGGTCCATAGATAGTCAAATAAATTTTAATTCTTTGCAGAGATGTAAAATTATTGATGTAAAAAGAGAATATAATAACATATTATTAACTGTAAAACAAGATAATGATTATGCAACATGTAATACAACTATTATATGTTTAGGATTTTGGTAAGAAATACAATTAAAATGTTATAATTAATAACAGAAAATTTAATATATTATCTTTCATTGAAACAGGAAAGATGTTAAGGTACAAAAAGATGATATTGTTATCATTCAAGCAAGAAAGGAAAATAAACAATGGATTATTGATAATAATAGTGGCTTTCTTATTATTCATCCAGATATATTAATATCTGGAACAACAGTAGTTGGTGCTTTATTTTGTAAAAGAAAAGCAATTTTAGCTGAAAAATTTAAAAAAATAGAAAATTTACCTTATTTTAAAGTAGATCAATCATCAATTATTATTGGAAGCTTAGTTCATCAATTATTACAAAAAGTAAATAAATTATAACATTTTTTTTTTATTTTTTCTTTCTATTTATTTTATTTATTTTTTAAATAATTAATTAACTAATATATTAACTATAATTAATTAACTAATTAATTAACTGATATTAATATTATAGGCAATACAAAAGAATATTTGTGAATTATCAGATATTACAAAATTAATGGACAATTTATTGCAATCAAAGGATACAACTAATTTACTTTATGCATCACAAATCTCATTTAATACATGTCGAGAACAAATACTTACATTTGTATCAAAAATATATGAATTTTTACAACATTATGTTAAAGGTATATAAACTAATATAATTAACATATTTATTATATTTTTTATTATATTTTATATTATATATTTATTATATTTTTTATTATATTTTATATTATATATTTATTATCTTTTATTGAAAAATAAGTATACTTGTAGATAAAAAGCAACAAAAAATAAATAATATGCAAGATAATTTCAAAGGAAGAATTACTAATATTTATGATATAGAAGAAAATATCTGGCTTCCTATGTTAGGTTTAAAAGGCAAGATAGATGTTACTGTAGAAGTAAAAATAAATTCAAAAAGGAAAATTATGCCTCTCGAAATTAAGACAGGAAAGCCTTCATTTTCTTTAGAGCATAAAGGTCAGATTATTTTATATATTATAATGATGACTCTTACTCGTCAAGATACTGATACTGGTCTTTTACTATATCTCAGGTATTTCAATATTTATATTTTATTTTCAAAATATTTTAAAATTTTATTAAATATTTATTATATTAATAATTTTTATTACAGAGAAAATGTTATGCAAGAGATTAATAGTAAATATTCTGAAAAAAGAGATTTGATATTATTACGAAACAGTTTGGCTAATTATTTCACACCAAAACTAATAGAAAAATCGAGTTTAACTCTTGAATCAGATTGGCAAACATTGGATTTACCAGAACCAATTAATCATCATAGTGCTTGTTCAAAATGTATGTATAATGTATTGTGTTGTATGTATTTAAACAAAGATACTAATACACAATTGTCAAATTCACATCCATTGATTAAGCTTGGAAAACAAATTTTAAGTAAGTTCAAGCCTAGTCATATTGATTATATCTCACAATGGGTTTCATTATTACAAATAGAAGAAAATGCACAATCTAGTGAAAATATAATAAAATATATGTGGACATTAAGTCCAGAAAAGAGGTAAAATAATTCAACATTAAAATTTTTATAAAAATGTTTTATTTCAATTAAATAAATTGTTTCATTTTTTAGAGAAGCAAAAAAAATCTGTATCTGTAATTTAAAAATAATAGGAAAAGTTATTGAATACAACTCGAAGTACAAGCATACTTTCATTCGTGCAAATGTAAAAGAACAATTTTCAAATACTAATATTCCTTATATGATATTTTCAGAAAATGAATATGTTTTAATCAGTACAAATACAAGGATAAATATATCCACTGGATTTATAGCACAAAGAAAAGAAGATTCTATCACAATATTATTAGATAGGTATAAAAAAAAAATATATTTATTTTATTTTTTATCTTTTTTTTTTATAATCTTATCATCTTTTCATTTTATTTTTTATTTTTTTTTTTTATAATCTTATTATCTTTTAATTTTTTATTTCAGAGATATTACCAAATATAATATAAATGAATTTTTCCACATAGATAAATATTCGTCTTCTAATTTATTTTCTTTCAATTTTGCAAATATAGGAGGTTTAATGGGTGATAATGAAATTTGCGAAAAATTACGTAATATTGTGATAGATAGGTTTGCAAAATTTATTGATTATTTTAATAAATCTTTGTTAATTAATTTTTATATTAAATTTTTTTTTATATTAGAAAGCCAGCTACATTCGAAAAAGAATTATCACATTTTATTATACATAAAAGTACTAAAGAATTACAAGATTTAAATAAAAATCAGCAAAGAGCTGTTTTAAAAGCGATATCTGCGAATGATTATTTTTTAATCAAAGGAATGCCTGGTACAGGAAAAACTCAGACATTAGTAGCATTGATAGAAATATTGCACAAAATAGGACACTCTATTTTAATTACTGCACATACAAATAGTGCTGTTGACAATATTTTATTAAAATTATTAGACAAGGATATTGATTTTTTGCGATTGGGCTCATCTGTTCATCCATCTTTAAGATGTAAAAGTGAAGAATATGTTACATCAAATTGTCATTCACCAGAAAGCTTGGAAGCAATATATTCAAATAAAGTATGAAGTATTTTAACATATTTACTATAATAAAATTTATTATAATATTTACTAATAAAATTATTGTTGATTAATTATGCAAATTAAAAAAGATTTAAAAAAATCACTTAACATTCTAATATTTTATAAATATTACTTAAAAATTTTTTTTTATAATGTTAGAAATAAACAAATTGATAATTTTTATTATAATTAATTTTATTTTATAATTTTATGTTTATAATGCTATAGAATATAATTGGAGTAACATGTTATGGTGCTCACCATGCACTTCTTGGAAAACGTATATTTGATATATGCCTTGTAGATGAAAGTGCTCAAGCATTGCAGCCATCTATATTACGACCATTATATAGTGCAAAAAAATTTGTTCTTGTAGGAGATCCTAATCAATTACCACCTATTATTAAAAGCAAATGGGCTAGGTGCATAATAGAATTTTTTAAAATAGATTAATAGATTTTATATTATATTAATTAATATAAATAATGTATTAAATTAATTTTTATATAAAAATTTAAATAAATTATTATGTTAATTTATAATTATTAAATTATTTTTTATAGAAAACTGGGTGCAGATGAATCTTTATTTGCTCGACTTGATAGCGAAAATAATACTGTTAACTTGACAAAACAATATAGAATGAATAAAAATATAATGTTCTTAGCAAACAAATTAACATACAATGATATGTTAGAAGCAGGAAATACATCAATAGAAAATGCCATTTTTGTTTCATCACATAAAAATATGAATGTAATAAATAAAATATGCTTTATTATTCTATTTACATAAAATAATCTGAAATAAAATTATATTTCAGATTTTAATGAAAGAACAAAAATGGATACAAAAAGTATTATCATCAGATATAAATGATTCTGTAATTATAATAAACACAGGATGTACCAGTAAATTAAAAGTAAACTGTGATATTAATGCTAAATATTCAGAAAGTGATCAAGTCAATTCAAACATTTGGGAAGCCATTATAGTATTGAAATTAGTACAAACTCTTTTAAAGGTGATATTTAATAATATTTTTCGTAATTTTATCTTTTGTATTAAATATTTAAATATGATATTTAAATATTCAGATGCAAATTGAACTTGATGAAATTGGTATTATTGCGCCATATAGGGCTCACGTTAATTTGTTAAAAAAAATAATTATTAAAGATATAGAAATAAATACTGTTGATCAATATCAAGGGAGAGATAAACAGATTATAATTTATTCTTGTGCAAAAAGTTTACTTAATAATAGAGACATAGAAGAGGTAACATATTTAAATTTTACATTATATAAATTACATTATATATTATACAAAATTATAAATAAAAGTATAATAGTATAAAGTAATAACAAAATTATATAAATTAAAAGTATTCAAAGTAATTTTTTTTTTAAATTTAGGATATTGAAGTATTAGGGGATTATCGAAGATTAACAGTAGCAATAACAAGAGCAAAATGTAAATTAATTATTATTGCAGATAAAAATACTTTATCTCAATTTTCAGCATTTAAAAAATTATTTGATCTAATTGAAGATAAAAATATAATAAATTTAATAGAATGTTTTGATGATTTTTCATGGAAAGAACTTTATTTATGTACTTTATAATGCACTTATATATTTGCTTGTATTTATTTTTGTTGTACTTTTATATTTTTATTATTATATTGTGCTATGTATTTATAATTCATTGTAATATTCTTATTGATGAATGAATTATTTAGAAAAATAAAAATTTTTGTAATTTCATAATAAAATTTGGTATAAAAATAAACAATATTTGTAATTCAATAAAATTATATTAATGGATACAGATTAAGTTTTTATGAAATATTTTGTATAGTATTTAATTTATATTATATTTATTGAAAAGTATACTTTTCAATTTTTAATTAATAAGATATTTGCGATTATATATATATAAAATATTAATCTAAGTTCAAATTATTTGAGATGTATTGAGATTGATAATGCATTAATATTTTGAGCATAAAACTGATACTAGATAAAACATATCATGAAATAATAATTATAAAATATTTTTTAATAACTTGGTAAGGTATTTAATCAATATACCTTATATATCTTTTATTTTATTTTTGTTAATTAATTAGTTGGTAATCTTTTAATTAGCTAATAAGTACAAACTAGTGTTAATTAAGATTATAATCTTATCAATTAATGATTTCATAATCTTTTTAATTAATTAATTTATAATATAATCAAGATTATGAAATTTATTTTAAAAATTGAAATGTATTTCAATATCTATTTATCATATATATGAAGATCACATGTTCACAAGTTTTCATTTTTTCTTTGTAAAGTACTTATTTATCATAAGATAGATACTTCATATTGATATCAAATGATTTTTTTTAGTTCAATATTTTATTTAAAAAATTATTTAATTTATT